CGGCAGGGGTAAAACTAACTTCATAATGTTCACCAAAAGCATAACAACTGAGTCATAGACCCTGTCATGAATTCCCTGTTGCCTTGCAGGACTCCCTTGTTCAAAGAGCCTCATTTTTTTAATTACACAATCATTACGTAGACTAGGACTGCACTTTGAGATGTTGTATTCTTACAGTAATTAAAAATTAAATTGTCTTTTAAACTTTCCAGAGCATATGTGCAAAAGTTTTGATTTCTTGAAGATAAATGTTAAACAATCTGTTTCTTCAGTTGAACTGGATTTAATATTTTGAGTTTGAATCTGCCAAACTACTCCTCTTTCCTCACATGTGATGTTTTATCCAATTGTTCTTGGTGTTGCTCTCCCTCACCTTTTAAAATGAGTTTTGTTTGTTTTAACATGCCACTCTGTATGCAGTGTGGTATGTGGGTAGGTATCAGCGCTTTAACCTATATACATATTAAAATGCCGTTCTCATACATTTTGCCATAATTACATGTTCTCTTAAAGAGAATCCGGTGTTCTTTTCCTAAAACAGCCTTTGTTCTCGAGTCCCTTACGCAATCTGTAGGCAAGTTTGCTAGAAATAAACATGATGTGAGAGGGGATGGACTTGTCCAAGGCAGGAGGCAAATCTGTGAGATCAGATGCTGCAGCTCATACTCAGCAAATGCGAACCTGTGGGCTGGAAGGTTTCTTTCCGAAAGACTGCCGTTGCGAAGGAGTCGCTGGACAAGCGTGTCGGTGCTTCAGCAGCATGCATCTAATATACAGACTGTTCCCAAGAGCCACAGGCAAAGAGAAGGTCTCCTCCTCCTTATGCCTGGGTCACTTTATGCAAGGAAAACACGCATCTGGGCCTCTGGACACTCACTATTTAACTCTCTCTGAGAATGTGGTAGCAGGGAAAGAAGCTGATCTGGATAGGGCAGTCATTGTACCCTGGCACCTGAGACCCTCTGCTCTCCTAAGCACTTCTGGTATGACCCTGGCCAAATCATTCAGGCTACCTGGGGTACCTTTGAGCCGGAGGGGAACAGGAACAGCAGCGGCATCCCACAGAGCAGTGGGACAGCAAGACTTACAAACTGGCAGGGTCTTTGGTACCATGGGAAAGGGATTGTATCTGTACCACTAGGAAGCCAGCTATCCCATGCATTACTGCAGGAACGGATTTGTGATTAAGAGCCTTCATCAGTGCTTGTCGTGGTTTAACCCCAGCCGGCAACTAAGCACCACACAGCCGCTCGCCCACTCCCCGTCGGTGGAGTAGGTAGTAAGGGTACCAGTGAGAAAACTCATGGGTTGAGATAAAGGCAGTTTAATAGGTAGAGCAAAAGCCACGCATGCAAGCAAAGCAAAGCAAGAAATTCACTCACTACTTCCCATGGGCAGGCAGGTGTTCAGCCATCTCCAGGAAGGCAGGGCTCCATCACGCGTAACGGTTGCTTGGGAAGACAAACGCCATCACTCCGAATGTCCCCCCCTTCCTTCTTCTTCCCCCAGCTTTATGTGCTGAGCATGACGTCATACGGTACGGCATAGCCCTTTGGTCAGCTGGGGTCAGCTGTGCCAGCTGTGTCCCCTCCCAGCTTCTTGTGCGCCTGGCAGAGCAGGGGAAGCTGAAAAGTTCTTGCCTAGTGTAAGCACTACTTAGCAACAACTAAAACGTCAGTGTGTTACCAACATTATTCTCTTACTACATCCAAACCACAGCACTATGCCAGCTGCTAGGAAGAAAATTAACTCTGTCCCAGCCGAAGCCAGGACAGTGCTGTTCCTCCTCCTTTCCTCAGCTGCTTCTTCCCAACCCATGGCTCAGCTCCTCCAGATGTGCTGATGCAACTCTTTGTGGTCCAATGCTGTAAGCAGGCCCACTGACCCAAGGTAAAATAAAAATATTCTTTTCTCATTGGCTGGTGATTTGACTGGTAATTTGCCCCCAAAATGACTGTGTTGGCATGAATTCAGCAACTGTGCTCCATGGCATGGGCTCTGTTTCCAAGGCTGGAAACGCCACGGTGTGGCACTGCCACCAAATCCCCCAGGTCTTTGAGTGATGCCTTCAGACTGATGCAAAACCATAGGAAAAAAAGAAGAGTTCTGATCTGTGTTATATATGCTCAAAGTTTATAAATCTCTTCTACTTCTTTAAACATTAAGAGCAGCACAGTAACACTTCCTCCCAGGCTTCGCCTGTTGCCTGTTTAAAACGTCAATTTTTAAGGTAGAGAGATTGTGCACAGGGTACTTATGTCTGATCTAACTGATGATGTTTTACTTCCATGACAGTGCAAATAACACCTTCTGATAAATTAGCGAGTCGGAGATGTTTTCAATAATGCATTATTACAAAGATCAACCTAAACTCTGAATAAATGACAAGTGAGAGTCAGTATCAGATACAGAACTGTCAACTCCCGTTCTGCTAAGCATCAATCCCAAAACAATTCTTTGCCTGCAACATAAATTACTGAGATGCGACTACGCTGTACAACTGTTTTCTGGGGTGAGCAGAATTGCCATATATGTAGGACTTGAAATGTGTGAGGAAAAAAGAGGAGTTCAGATAACAGGGAGAAGAAGAGGTGGAAAAGAGGACACGAAAGGCACAGGGAAGGAAGGCAAGGCAAAATGAGGCAAAAGAGATTTGAAGGTCTAAGAAGGAGAAAGATGCTAGCTGAAGGAAAGGAATAGGAAATGATACAGCGAGTCATTCATCATTAGGATTTTTAGCCAAGCAGGTGTGTAACAGGGAAGATAGATAGTATTTTGGGGGCTTTGGGAGGTAAAGTAGTTTATTTGCAGGAACAAAACCCCTCTGTTCGTTCCCGTGTTAGCTGATGCCAGACACCAGTAAATGGCACTGCCGTGCGGGAAGATGAGCATCACCAGCTCAGACAGGCACCCCGCCTGGCACCAGATACGGCCTTTAACTGGCCCAGCACAGGTGACATCCAGCTCCTACCTGCTCCCACCAGAGCTGGTGGCTGATGCTCACGGCAGAGCTAAAATAAATCCAGAAAAAAAAAAAAAGAAAAGCTAAAAATCTCTGCCCTTCAGGCACAGAAACCTAAGATAAAATAAAAACAAATTATCCGAACCTCTGTCAAAACACAGGGGATGCCTGTCCCGGGGGAGCTCCATGTCCCCCTGCCCGTGAGCGTCCACCCCCATGTGCTGCACTTCGGCTCGGCTCCCGTCCCCGGTACCGCTGGCTTTAGCAGATGCCAAAACACTTTTTGGGGGCAAAAGCCGAGGTCTGCGAGGCCGGGGGATGAGAGCTCAGAGCCCTGCAGGGGCGGGGGGGGGGGGGGGACTTTTTTCCTAAAGACAGCGGCAGGGGCGGGGGGGGGGGGAGACTTTTATCCTAAAGTCATCGTAAAGCCAAAGAGGGGTTTGTCCTCCGCAGCTAAATGAAAACAAAATGGAAAAAAGAAAAAAAAATCCAGAATAGCAACATTGGAGATGCAAAGACTGTCATGGACCAGTGCGAGTTTGCCAAAGTATATGTAAATGGCCCCAGTTTTGACCGTGGTGGCTCTCTGCTAATCCCAGCGAGGAAATCTACTTAGCAAGGGGAAGTTTTGTTTAATTTGGTTAACGGGGACCAAAACGCTGAATGTATTAATAGTTTATATTTCCAGGGAAACGCTATCTTTAATGCTTCAGTGCCAGAGGGGGCTCATGAGAGCGTAACGCTCACAGAACAAAAATCGTGTAGCGTTTTCTCCGCGTTCTGCACCCGGCGCTGGTGAAAATGAGCGTAGGGCGTGCGTTGGGGATAGGCACCAGCCCTGCGGCGGCGGCTGCTGCTGTGGCTGCTGCGGCTGCTGCTGCTGCGTGGGTTTGGCTGGTCCCACGTCGCTCTGCGTGCACTCGGCAAGAGAGGGGTTCCCGCTGGATGCACCACCCCAAAGGCCTCCCGAGGGAACGGGGGGTTTCCCTCCCCTCTCTGGCTGACTGGGTACGCCGTGTGACCTTTTCCCCACTAATCTGAAATAGCAGCTTTTCCTGCGTTTACAGGTTAAACGGAAGATACACATTCTACTTTTTACTCATTGTAATGAAGATCTTTTTGTCTGTCTCCGAAGAAAGGGGTCGGGTTGGTTTACAAATTGCGGGTCAGCCCATTCCGTGACCTGGGCAAACAACCCGGGTCAAATCTCCTCAAAGCCTCCCCACCCAACTGGAATAAGTTAATTTACCCCTCGGCGGCTCCGGCCCCGCCGGGCACACCCGGGCTGCCCGGGGTGGGGGGGGGGCGGGGGCCGGGGTCCCCCTGCCCTCCGGCCAGAGGCGGGGGGGGCCCCCCGGCG